GAAGTTTAACCGGTTCTGGGAAGGAGATCATGAGTAAATAAAAGATCTGGGTGGAGCCCTTCAGGTTAAACATGGGCAGGGTGGAAAGAATCGGCATGGGAACCACGCGAACATACTCCAGCCAAAAGGAAAGAGAGAAGGAGAAGAGACCATAGGATGCAAAGCCAAAGAGAGAACCGAGACTGCCAGTCTAAAAGAAAAAAAAAATAGCACTAAAAACAGGAATGGTCAAAAAATGCATTATTAAAAAAGTAATAGACATCTATAGAACAGGAGCCCAAAATAAAGCGATAAATGGCAACAACAAAATGAAATGGGAGGGACCATAATAGATAAATTAAAAACAGGAAAAAAAAGTACGTGATTCAAAATCAAATTAATTACTTAGAGCAGGTGACTTTGAACTTTTCTGTTAAGGTTCCAATAGTAAATACGCTAAGCTTCTCAGCCACACAGTTTTTGTCACAGCTATTCATCTCTGCAGTAATAGATTATATATGTAATATATTAATATTCATGAAGTGTTTAGAATAGTGCCTAGACATAGTAATTGCGTATTATTATCATCATTGATATCAAGACACATCCAAATTAAGTTGTGGAACTTCAAAGATAAAGAGGAAAAAAAAATCATTCTGGCAATTAGGCAGAAAACGTTACGCACAGTGGGAAAATCCAGCTGGCCTCAAGCTTTTGCCCAGCAACATTTAACTCCAGAGGTCGACAAAAACAACGTTTGTAACACATTAAGGGGCAGCGTGTGTAACCAAGGGTAGTGCACCCAGCCAAGTTGTTCAAGTACAAAGGCAACAGGCAGTATTTGCATATATGAAAGAGCTCTGAGAATGAAACACTTACAATCAATTTGTTAAAAAATTAAGAAAATAAAAATTTTTAAAGCTACGTAACACTAAAATCCAACCAACCAAGTGATAAATTAAAACTCAAACTCAGTAATGGGAAAGTCATGGTAAAAGAACTAGTGCTGAGCATTGCATTCATTTAAATAGAGAACTCATAATGATTAACAGAGAATTATGTTTGCAGAACAAAATGTAATGCTGCAATTCTGACAAAGAAAAATAATTTGAAACAAAAACCAGGAGGTAGAGGGAGGGAAGGAAAAGTGAAAAGAAGTAGAAGGGCCCTTATCGCCTCATGTTTCCTATCAGGTACTATTTCTGTCAAACACTATCTAGAATTAGAGCATGAAATTTTTAAAAATTATGTCTCCAATCTTGTAAAAGTATTTGTGCCATTAGCGGAGATGACATACGACTTACTATTTCTTATACAGAAACATTGGTAATTCCTTCAGTTTTACTTCAGCTTCTTTTTTTCCTGAAATTTAAATCAACTTAAATATAGTATTTTACACAGAAAATGATTGCATTGTTTCAGAATATTTTTCACTTATTTATTGAAACATTTGTCCATCCACACTGTATATGTCCAGAAAAAGATGTACAGAATGATATTCACCAAATTTTTTTTAGGTGATAGAATTTAGGGTGATTCTTGCTTTCTTCTTTATGCTTTACTCAATTGTGTTTTTTGACAAGCAATGTGTGGGATTTCTAGCCGCCCATCAAAATCCTTTCTTACCTGTCTGTACCCATGACTATGCCATATTTCCCAATCTCCCTTGTAGCGACCCATGACCATGTGGCTAAGTTCTCTTAAACAGAATGTGACCAACTTCCATGGGTCTGATTTTTGAATTCTTTCTTTCTACTTGCTTCCTGGTGACCAGAGTCAACTTACAAAGCAGGTATTGTTTATGGCAGGGCGGGGGAGGGGGGATGTCAGGCCACATATCTGAAAGTGTGTGGAACAGAGCCACTGAACCACCAGAAACACTCACCTTGGTTGTGTTACATGAGAGAAGAACAAAAGTGGTGTTCTTTTAGTCATATTATTGTGAGTCTCTTTATAAGGCATGCTATTATTTTAGAATAAGTAATACCCATGCTTTATTTTATTTAAAAATCAATAGTAAGCCAACAATCTAAAAATAGAATTAATCAAGTCTAAAAAAATAAACAAAATCTAGGTCAAACTCCCCAGTACGTAAGTCACACAACCCAATTATTCTTGCAATAGTGTAAGAATAAATGTGGCTGCCACCATCATGACTGATGATGAGCGTTAAGGGTTGATTTCACCAGCTGGAAGACCTAGTGGTAATGGTGCTTAGTGGCCACATGGATTTTCTGAACTGACTTCATCTTTGAGAGTTGTTTTGTTTGTTTTCTTTAGAGATAGTCTGGCTTATAATGTTTCACATTATTCAAGGGACTATGTTCCCTCTAAATTCAGAAGGATATTAGCCTCTAGTATCATTATCCTTGCTGCTCAACCAGATATTTCACTGGGTCCTAAGTAACTCAGTTGGATCTAGACAAATCTGTGTTCTCTAAAGCTTGTTTCATAGCATTTTGAAAATTAATTTTGACATAAAACCTTTTTACATAGATTAAACTCCTATGGTCAGAACATAGTCTGAGAAACATCACCAACACACCATCCACTGTGTTTGTGACATGTAATAAGAGATCATAATTCTATATCAGTGGATAGGGCTATTGAAGGACAGTGAAATTATTTGGATCATTTGGATACTAATTCTAGAATTGAAGTGTTTATATAAAAAAAAAAATCATCTGAAAATTGGAAGGAGCCTCAAGAGACCAATTGGTCCAGGCTCTCCCAAATAAGGCAGCAAATATTTTTCTTACAGCTTTTAATTAAGCTGCAAGATGACAGGTTTCCAGATTTTACTTATCACCATAGAGATAAATGGTTTTCAAATAATCACTGAGGAGAGGAACGTGGGAGGTTAAAATAAAAACTCTCATTTAGTTCTTTTCACACATCTGCCCCTGAAAAATCTTGTTTGACTCCAAAAAAATTTTTTTTTTATTTTATGAAAGAACAAATTGGAATATGAAAGGCATGAAAATCCTAAATGTCTGGCTCATTTCCTCTCAAGAAATAAAAATCTTTCAACAATGTGTTTATAAGCTACCAGCCAGACACAAATACTAATCTCTCAGTCCAGAAATATCCAATTTCCATGATAATGCATTTAAATCTCTGCAAACTAGAGTGTTTTTAGGAACCATGCCAGTCAAAGATATCTAAAACAATGTTGCCCGATTCTTTTCCGAAGTTAGCTTTATACCAATTAGCTATTATTTCTAGTGAGTACTCAGCCCCCTCAAAGATAACCATTCCACTCCTTTTATTCTTGACTATCTTATTAATTTTGACATTTTTCCTTTTATATATTAAGGTGGCAATGGCAGCACTATCAAATTCATCAAGTAGAGAAGGATACTTCCAACTTGAAACCTAATTAATTTTTCATGTTCATTATCTTTTAAGAGTGTCTCTTGCAAAAGGACATTATCTGTTCCTCTTTTCATGATAATTGATGCAGTTCTTCCACAATCCTTTTATTTTTTCTAATAGGTGAGGAAAGCCTTTTAATACTTAGCCTTGCAGTCTTGCCAGTAACTTTTTAAAGGATAAGTATTAAATATGTCATTCAAGATACATAATGTGTTACAAAAATCAGATCCATTAGAATAAGAAACTCATTAAGGTGTAAGTTTAAAGAGTTTACAGAAGTACACCATTACTTTATGAAGCCATGAATTATTAATAAGAAACATGGTGACATGCATTACTTTTATATTTTTTAGGAAACATAGAAATGAGAAAATTATTTGAGTCAAAATACAACAAACAATATACTAAATATTGTTAAGCACTGGCTCCCAATTACATAGAATAAGATAGCCAAAAGGAAAAATGAATGTTAGGAGAAAAAAGTGAGGAAAGAAAGGGGAAAGAAAAGGGAAATACTCTGTATAGTCGAAGCTACTTCATGTACCTAAAGACCTAGCTGTGCATTCAAAAGAAATAAATAAATATTTTATATGGAAATGTTAACAAATTTTCATGTTGCATTAAAAAAGCAGACGTGAGTGAACACTTGCCATTTGATATCGAAAAACAATTTCTTGTAATATCTTTACCTACTAGGTATGTCTGCTAAAGGCATGTCTGAGGCTGTGAAGGGTCTCAGCATCCATTCTCAGCTGCTTTACCCTGAGGGGCCAGAAAGCTATGGGTCACTAATAATGAGAAGGCAGCCATTAATTGTTAGTTAAAAGAAAAGAGACTTTATATACTCAGAGAACGGAGACAAGTAGTGTTCAGCCAGCTGAAATGAGTGGAATACAACTATTGAGCTAACAAATCCCTAAAACAATGCCTGAGCAAACTAAAACAAAATAAAACAAAGCAAGGCATGGTGGGTATGGGGGCGGGGAGAGCACACACCGGAGAAGGCAGCAGATTTTCAAACATGATCTCATCACAAGCCATTTTCCTCTTCAGGGGTATGGGTCCATGGAGTCCCCAAAAAATTATTAGTCCAGGTCAATCCACATTGCCTAGCAAGTCAGAAAGGAGAGGGTCCAAATCGAAGCTTCGTAAGACTTAGTAAAGCACATTTTCACGCTCTCTCTTTTCATCAACTATTCCATTGTAGATGCTGACTCTTGCCTTCCTTCAGTAGAATTCGTCACTTTGACTTGTCTTCTCCGCAATGGAAGCACACTCCCTCCCATTTGGGAATCAGCAGAACACATTAACAAACTGAAACCATAGCTTTTGCCTAATGAGTGGGATTTTTCTCTGTGAAAGCCTAGCTAGTTCATTAACTAGGATCGAAACCATATACTCAACTTCATTAGGCACATGTCTACTCAACTGAAACATCCAGCTGGAAAAGCCTTTGAAATGCATGTAATATGAACAGAGCAATTCTGAAGATTCATAAAAACATATACCGTTGCTTCTTTGCTCAGGTATAGATTTTAAAATATTAGACGGTATCAAAGGGGACAAGAAAATTGCTAACAATAAGAAAAAGGGAAAACGGCAAAAGGAAATTAGAGAATTTAAAATTTTTACCTGAATTAATCCAAGTCTCACCATTGGAGGAAAACAGAGTGTTGGCAGTTTTCTGGAGAATTTATGTGGCAAAACCCATCATGGATAGTCCACAGTTTTTTGCCTAAACAGTCACATCTGAAACAGAACACACTCTCAGCACACATAACTACATTTTAAAGCTAGGTTTAGAACATAATTTTAGTGCTTTCTGGAATTATAGAGTTTGTATGCATGTGTCCTATCTTTAGCTACTTACCTCTTTTTTCTTTATCACAGAAAAAATATATGAGCAAAATGTCAAGAAGGAGGCTGAAAGGTGAGCTGTTTCGAAGAGATGAATAAGCTAACATTCCCCTGGTCATGACTTCCTGTGCCGTACAATTTGAAAAGAGAATAAAATGAGTCTCATCTTCAACAAACGAGGCTTCAGTTGCATTCTGAATAAGCCCAATTACGGCACCGTCATCTTCTCCATTTAGTCTTCAATTAGATACTAAGGGTTTACATGATCACCTTTCCTTAGGAAGATGCATACTCTCTCCTTGTGAGAGACACTATTTCCTGTCTATGTTTTGTTAATACCTTCTTCAAGGGAGTCCTACAAAAGTTCTTCAAGGGACCCCCTTTCTGGATCCTACAAAACCGTTTCTGCTTTATCATTATTAAGCATTTATAGAGCACTTTAGACTTATTTACTAGAGTTCATATGTCCTTATAAGATATGTTAGTATAATGGTCTTAGAAATGAGAAAATAGAGGTTAAGTAACTTAGCCAAGGTCACATAGGTAATTTGGATAAAAGACTCAAAGCCCCTGATTCACTGGTTACTACGTAAATGAAAACACTTAATTGGCATAAAAAGTTATTTCTTTCAAAACTTTACACCTCCACTGTTACTGAACATCAGCAACAAGAGTGATTTTCTTGGCTCTAACCTTGTAGCTGATGGCATTGTTTGGGTGGATCTTCACCTCTATAGTTCTCTTGGTCTTTCCTTCTTGGTCTCAAGATTACAGCTCTGGCTCCAGGCAACATGTCTGCATACAAGAAAATAGGAAGAGGAGAAAGTGTTTAAACAGCCCTGTCTGTCCCCATCATGAAAGCAAAATCTTTCTCAGAGAATCCCCAGGATAGGTCTACTTTGTCAAAGGAGGTTGATAATGCTCTGTTGTCTTTAATGAGAAACAATAAAAAAGGAGGGGTCCGAGAAGGAAAATTGTGCCAGCCCACTAACCAGCAGTGTCCGCCACAGTTGTTCACAGAATCTGATGTTGAAATTTCACTTGACAAACATTATTTTGTTCCACGGCAAGCTAGCATTTGTTAACAGAGCAGTGGGAGCCAGCCCCTAAGCTTTTTTAAAAGTTGGGGTAAAAACTTACAAGTTGGGAAAATTTTACCCATTGACTTCATTTGGTGAAAGGAAGGGAATTTTACAAAGATGGCCAACAGTTTATTTTGATGGCTTAAAGCCAAGGTCCAGTTTATTGTGTTGTAAGGAAGTACAGTTTGGAAATTGCCATTTCGGTACAAGTGGCCACACACCTTCCAGAGCCTCGGCTTTTCTTTATGTCAGTCCCCAAAAGATACATCACATTCATTTTCCTCTCTGTTTTCCAAATCCTATTACTAACTCATGGCTCAATCACATATTTGGCAGACTACACAACTTTGTCTTGCCGGGACATTCACCACCTAATATCGGAAGCATTTTCCACCTACAAAAAGTCATGATGTAATTTTCCATTTACGTTTACCTCATGTCCCCTCTTCTGTTTTGAACAGAAACTAACAGCCATTGAGCCCTCAGTGTGTGCCAGTGAAGTAATTTACACATGTTTTCTTATTTAATTTTTATAGCAATCCTATGAGACCGGCGCCATCATTATCCCCATTTCATATTCAGGTAATTATGTTCAGGGAGGTTAACTCATGCAAAGGTACACAGGTAGCAGGTGCTGCACCTGGGATGCAAGTCCATGCACTCACTCGCAATCACCCTGGGTTTCGTCCCCAGCTTTACTGAGATGTTATTGACATATACAGATGTCATTTTAAGGCATACAGTGTTGTAATATGATACACATTTGTATTGCAAAATGATCACCACAATAAGTTTAGGTAACAACTCCATTCCTTCACATAATTATGTGTTTGTGTGTGTGTGTGTGTGTGTGTGTATAGATAACATTTCAAATCTACTCTCTTAAAAACTTTCTAGTATATAATACAGTATTGTTCATTACAGTCACCACACTGTACATTAGACCTCCAGAACTTGCCCATCTTAGAGCTGGGAGTTTGTAACGTTTGACAAACATCTTCTTATTTCCCATACTTGCCAATCATGCTATCATAAAATGAAGGGAAGAAGGGAGGAGGGAGGGAGGGAGGAAGAGAGGAAGGAAGGAAGAGTTGAGTGGGGCAGTAGTAAGAAGGAGAGAGGTAAGCAGGCAGGCAGCAGGCAGAGGTGGATTTACTAGGAGGCTAATGATATTTAGGCTTCAGGGTCCCTCACTTGCACGGATTTTCCCAAGGCCTTGAACAGGGCCCCAGAAATACTTTTTTAAATTTTGTGAAGTTTTCAAAAGTTATTATTATTTTTTTAAGATTTTATTGGGGAATTGCGGGATGGGAATAGCACTGGGGAATTGGGGGAAGGGGAACAGACAAGTTGCTGTCGTTTTTTTTTGTTGTTCTTCAGTCTAGTTGTGGAGGATGTTGCTTCACTGGCCCAAGTTGGCACCATCATTGCGCTCTTCCCGGGTGAGGCAGATCAGTCGCCGGCTTCTGGATGGCCGCTCACTGCGGCTGCTGGCCACTCACGCTGGCTGCTGGCTACACACGGTAGCCCATGGCAACCCACTGCAGCAAGGTTTGCAGCCTACGCTGTCGCTGGCGACTCACGGCAGCCCAGCTCCAGGTTGAGCTGTTGTTCAGCATCTTAGCTGTAGAGGGCAGTGTCACTGGCCCTCATATGTGGGATCCGAACCGGGGCCCTCTGGTGTCCCAAGCCAGTTCTTAACCATCGCGCCACTCAGCCGGCCCTCAAAAGTTATTTTAACTGCAATTAGTTAAGATATCTGTCTCTCTTTACTTTGACTCTCCCTCAGTTATACTTGCCCTCTTGGTAGAGATATTGGCGTAGTCATGGGTGATTTTGGATACAGCTAAAGGTAAATTGAGTTTAGGGTGTATTTAGTTTGGATTTAGCAGAATATATTTATGTACGGCTCACTCACATGTATGTAGAGTTGTTATTTTTAGTTGCTATGAACTGAATGTTTGTGTCCCCTCAAAATTCATATGTTGAAATCTAAACCCACAATGTGATGGTATTAGGAGGTGGGCATCTTTGGGAGTTGATTAGATCATTATGGTTAAGCCTTCTTGAATGGGATTAACACTTTTATAAGAAGAGACATGAGAGAGATGATCTCTCTCTCTCTGTTGATGTGCGGGCACAGCGAGAAGACGACCATCTAGAAATCAGGAACAGGATTCTCTCCAGAGCCCCACCAGTCTGGAACCCTGATTGTCAGACTTCCCAGCCTCCAGAGCTGTGAAAAATACATTTCTGTTAGTTAAGCCACACAGTTTATTGGTATTTTGTCAAAGCAGCCTGAACTGTCTAAGATATTAGTCATGCTGGCATAAAAATGGCTTCCAGGAAAAATCCTACTGCCTTTCATGCCAACTCACCAGCGTTATTATATGAAGGTACCATATGCTTTTACCAAAGATCACATCACCCTATGAATGCAGTCTATTGTGCCTGCTCCAAAAGTATACTGATAGGAGAAGCAAGGGTTGAAATGTATGGGGCCAAAAGCTGGTCTATAGAAAATTCATCCAAGCATCAGAAGTGTAAAATTGCAAGCAGGGAATTTGTTCAATGGCTAGTCAAATGGAAATTCTCTCTTCTCAGGAATATTCTAGCTAATGCAAAATGTGCCATTATAAAGCACCTTATATTTATTTTCTTTTGGATGGGAATTGCACTGAATAGAATTTGTCAGCATCCTTGCATTTTTAAGGCACAAACCCTATAGTACGATACAGACAGAAAATATGGCTATGAGTAAATCCACATTGTACCTGCGTTTTAATGTGCCTTAGGATTGCACTACCAATAACCAAAAGTGTAACAGGAAGAACCTGTTATAGACTGATTGTTTATGCACCCATCTCCCAAATTCATATGCTGAAACTTAAACCCCAGTGTGATGGCATTAGGAGGTGAGGCTTTTGGAGGTGATTAGCTCATAAGAGTGGACCCCTCATGAATGAGATTAGTGCCCTTATAAAAGAGATCCCAGAGAGCTCTCTCCCTTTCCACCATGTGAGGACACAGCAAGAGGATGGCCGTGTATGAACCAGGAAGTGGGTTCTCACCAGAAACCGAATCTGCTGGCACCTTGATCTTGGACTTCCTGGCTACCCAGTCTGTGGTAGTTTGTTACAGCAGCCCAAATGAACTAAGACTTCAGAAGCTTTTTTCTAAGCTGTCAATAAAACGATACAAATTGTCATCAGCTGTGTTAGAGAAAAGGACCAATTTTACTTTCTGCACATATAGAACAATACTTCAAAATCTTTGTCATATAAAGAGGCAATTAAAGAGCATGGAACCCAAAATGTAGGAAAATACGTTATAGAGGTGTGTCAAGGGATAAATTAATAAAGAGATATGTAATTTTTCTGAATTGCATGATGATTGTGATTTTTTTCCTGCTTTTAAAAATTGTAACGTGTTATAATTTGATTTTTAGTTTTAGATAAATATTAATTTTGTGTTCAGAATTTTGCATTCATTTTCTTAAAGAGGCTTTAAGAGCTGCATAAGCTTCAGGACTCTTCATAACATGGCTGTGTTCCTGAAGAAAGAAAGGAAGATAACACTATCTGATCAGAATCTCTTTAAACCATAAGCAACACAGAGTGTATACTTTTATACACGACTATAGGTGTGAGCAGAGAATATATCAGTCAGGGTGGTGAGAAAAGCAGAGCACCATCCCTCCCCCCACCCCACCCTCTGGGGGTGATAACTGGAAACTTCTGTTTAAAGCCTCTGTAGAACTCAGTTATCCAGGTCCATTATGGAAAAGCTGGGTAGGAAAGAATGGGAACAGAGTATTTATTCACTGAACTTTTGAAGATACTCAATATTTATCTATCTATAACTTTTAGTGGAGAATCAAATATAACAATATTAGTACAGTTGTGACTCTATGCAAAATACAAAACTAAAGAGTTGAACCAGCTAATGAAGAGTTCAGCTTCTAAAGGAGAGAAGATGGAGACAGATGATGAATGTTCTCAGCAAGACAAAATTGTATCAGTGATCACAGCAGAGAAAACATGTGAACAGCAGACACAAAAGAACAGGTGAGAATAATAAGAGGGTGAGCAAGGAGGGCTCAGAACAATTATGGAGGGATGGGAGCCTAACACTGATGTAGTACATCTCAGTTCAGCGTTGCTCTAGCAACACTTCCCATTTGAGGGTTTGTAGAACTAGAAGAAAGGTGGTAATGTCACACGGCCAATAGCCCAGTTGGGCTGAGTTCATTGTCCCTCTAGCAGTTCAAGATCTAACTAGGAAAAAAGTGATAAAGAAAAAGAACTAGATAAGAGGAAATGGAAAAGACATTGGAAATGCTGAAGGAGATAGATGAGAGCAGAATGACACAAAAGAAAGTCATAGCTATCATGAAGGGAGGAGGGCCCTATACAGACACATGCTTTGCTTCAACTTTACATCTGATCTACCCTCTGTCTCAACCCTATCCGATACCATAATGCTCTGTTCTCTGTTTTTATCAGAGGAGAATGGCTGTGTGGAGGAGAGTATTCACTAGGGAGGATTCCTGGATAAGCCACAGCCCAGAGGCAACAAGTGATTTTCTAGTAGAAGGCAGAGCAAAATGAACACAAGATAACTTGGTGTGAGGTGTCAGCTGCACTTTACTAGATTTACCCCAACTATAAAGATAAGAGTAATTGCTTGTGTTAATTGTGTGTCATGGACCAG